TCACACTTTGGTACAAGAGCTGGAGGCTGAGGAGGCTCCTCCCGGACTCCCCTCGTCCATCCATTTGTCCAGGCTGCGCCTGCGGGCGTTCATGAAGAAGTTGCTAACGGTGGTGAGTTCCAGTCCCAGCTGCTGAGAGATGGTCATCTGCATCTCTTTGGACGGACGCTTGTTCTCCTTGAAGATGGCCAGCAGGGTGCGACGCTGCAGGTCAGTAAAAACCAGGCGGGATTTCTTTGGTGTATTGTTCCTTTCCTTGCTTGGGTCTTGTTCTTTTCTTTTGCACGCTGTAGAAGGGAGGGAGGGAGGGAGGGAGGGAAGGTGAGAGGAAGAAGAGAGAGAATATGTTAGTAGTCATACGTAGGAATGATCCTACAGAGAGACAGGTGAAGATGTGATGCAGGTGATAAACATATACAACATCACCTCTATGACTCATTTGTGTGTGTGTGTGTGTGTGTGTGTGTGTGTGTGTGTGTGTGTGTGTGTGTGTGTGTGTGTGTGTGTGTGTGTGTCTGTCATTACTGTTAAGGTTTTCAGCATGTATACATCATTTGTGTCAAGCAAGTCAAGCATTTATAAAGTTATATAACTAATATTTATGTAAAACCTGCAGTGTCAGTGATATAAACATTTCAATCATTATTAGATCTGAAGTCAAAATCTCCTGTAAATGTTGTTTGTACACAATAACCACAACAACAGTATTTTACATTCTACCATGAGTCCAGACATTTTCAGAGCCACCATTTGTAAGATGTGTTGTGGAAAAGCCACTCTGCCCTCACAGTAATTGCTTTAGTGCCCTCTCTCTCTCTGTCCCAAACTAACCTTACACGTGTCAGACATTTTCATGTCTGCCTGACCTGTCTAGAGTTCTCGAAGTGTTGCAATGTGAATAGCTTTTGTAACTTCAACAGATCGGCCTACGTGTAGACAATAGCTTTGTAACTTCAACAGATCGGCCTACGTGTAGACAATAGCTTTGTAACTTCAACAGATCGGCCTACGTGTAGACAATAGCTTTGTAACTTCAACAGATCGGCCTACGTGTAGACAATAGCTTTGTAACTTCAACAGATCGGCCTACGTGTAGACAATAGCTTTGTAACTTCAACAGATCGGCCTACGTGTAGACAATAGCTTTGTAACTTCAACAGAGGGAGGCATGTAGCTTAGTGGTTAAGAGCGTTGTGCCAGTAACCGAAAGGTCGCTGGTGCTAATCCTGAGCCGACTAGGTGAAAAATTTGTTGATGTGCCCTTGAGCAAGGCACTTAACCCTAATTGCTCCTGTAAGTCGCTCTGGATAAGAGCGTCTGCTAAATGACAAAAAAATAAATAAAATAGATAGGCCTACGTGTAGACAATAGCTTCATGCGTTTAATCCGTTTAGAAGAGCCCTTCAATCCATCCTTGATTCTTCACATTATTATTCTGTGTATAACCATTATTATATAACCATTATTCTGTATATAATACATTATTTTCTTTAGGAATGTAGTGAAGTAAAAGTAAAAGTTGTCAAAAATATAAATAGTAAAGTGAAGTACAGATACCCCAAAATACTACTTAAGTAGTACTTTAAAGTATTTTTTACTTAAGTACTTTACACCACTGTATAACCATGATTATATAACCATTATTCTGTATTCAACCATTATTTTGTATAAAACAATGATTATATAACCAAGGCTATTTAGTCTGCCAATTAGAATGCAGTGATTGACAGAGTCGAAAGCCTTGGCCAGGTCGATGAAGACGGCTGCACAGTACTGTCTATTATCGATCGCGGTTATAATATCGTTTAGTACCTTGAGCGTGGCTGAGGTGCACCCATGACCAGCTCGGAAACCAGATTGCATAGCGGAGAAGATACGGTGGGATTCGATCTGTTTGTTAACTTTCAAATACTTTCGAAAGGCAGGGCAGGATGGATATAGGTCTGTAACAGTTTGGATCTAGAGTGTCACCCCCTTTGAAGAGGGGGATGACCGCGGCAGCTTTCCAATCTCTGGGGATCTCAGATGATATGAAAGAGAGGTTGAACAGGCTAGTAATAGGGGTTACTCTGTATATAACCATTATTCTGTATCTAACCATTATTATGTATATAACCATTATTCAGTATATACCCATTCTTGTGTATATAACCATTATTCTGTATTTAACCATTATTCAGTATATAACCATTATTCAGTATATAACCATTATTCTGTATATAACCATTATTCTGTATATAACCATTATTATATAACCATTATTCAGTATATAACCATTATTCTGTATATACCCATTATTCTGTATATAACCATTATTATATAACCATTATTCTGTATATAACCATGAGTATATAACCATTATTCAGTATATAACCATTATTCTGTATATACCCATTATTCTGTATATAACCATTATTATATAACCATTATTCTGTATATAACCACTATTCTGTATCTAACCATTATTCTGTATATAACCATTATTGTATAACCATTATTCAATATATAAACATTATTCTGTATATAACCATTATTCTGTATATAACCATTATTATATAACCATTATTCTGTATATAACTATTATTAAGTATACAACCATTATTCTGTATATAACCATTATTATATGCCCATTGTTCTGTATAGAACCATTATTCTGTATATAACCATTATTAAGTATATAGACATTACCTTGTATATAACCATTATTATATAACCATTATTCAGTATGTAACCATTATTCAGTATATACCCCTTATTCTGTATATACCGATTATTCTGTATATAACCATTATTATGTAACCATTATTCAGTATATAACCATTATTCAGTATGTAACCATTACCTTGTATATAACCATTATTATATCACCATTATTCAGTATGTAACCATTATTCAGTATATACCCCTTATTCTGTATATACCGATTATTCTGTATATAACCATTATTATGTAACCATTATTCAGTATATAACCATTATTCAGTATGTAACCATTACCTTGTATATAACCATTATTATATCACCATTATTCAGTATGTAACCATTATTCAGTATATAACGATTATTCTGTATATAACCATTATTCTGTAACCATTATTCAGTATATACACATTATTCAGTATATAACTATTATTCTGTATATAAACATTATTCTGTATATAACCATTATTCTGTATATATCCATTATTCTGTATATAAACATTATTCAGTATATAACCATTATTCTGTATATAACCATTATTCTGTATATAACCATTCTTTTGTATATAACCATTATTCTGTATATACCCATTATCACCCCACTTTGGTATTTTGTTGCCTTACAACCTATAATTAAAATGGATTTTTGGGGGTGTTGTATCATTTGATTTACACAACATGCCTACCACTTTGAATATGCAAAATATTTTCTTTTGTGAAACAAACAAGAAATAACACAAAAAACAGAACTTGAGCGTGCATAACTCTTGACCCCCTCAAAGTCAATACTTTGTAGAGCCACCTTTTGCAGCAATTACAGCTGCATGTCTCTTGGGGTATGTCTCTATAAGCTTGGCACATCTAGCCACTGGGAGTTTTGCCCATTCTTCAATGCAAAACTGCTCCAGCTCCTTCAAGTTGGATGGGTTCCGCTGGTGTACAGCAAACTTTAAGTCATACTACGTATTTTCAATTGGATTGAGGTCTGGGCTTTGACTAGGCCAATCCAAGACATTTAAATGTTTCCCCTTAAACCACTTGAGTGTTGCTTTAGCAGTATGCTTAAGGTCATTGTCCTGCTGGAAGGTGAACCTCCATCCCAGTCTCAAATCTCTGGAAGACTGAAACAGGTTTCCCTCAAGAATTTTCCTGTATTTAGCGCCATCCATCATTCCTTCAATTCTGACCAGTTTCCCAGTCCCTGCCGATGAAAAACATCCCCACAGCATGATGCTGCCACCACCATGCTTCACTGTGGGGATGGTGTTCTCAGGTTGATGAGAGGTGTTGGGTTTGCGCCAGACATAGTGTTTTCCTTGATGGCCAAAAAGCTTAATTTTAGTCTCATGTGACCAGAGTACCTTCTTCCATATATTTGGGGAGTCTCCCACATGCCTTTTGGCGAACACCAAATGTGTTTGCTTATTTCTTTCTTTAAGCAATGCCTTTTTTTCTGGCCACTCTTCCATAAAGCCCAGCTCTATGGAGTGTATGGCTTAAAGTGGTCCTATGGACAGATACTCCAATCTCCGCTGTGGAGCTTTGCAGCTCCTTCAGGGTTATCTTTGGTCTCTTTGTTGCCTCTCTGATTAATTCCCTCCTTCCAGGGAATGGGCGGCCCTCTCTTGGCAGGTTTGTTGTGGTGCCATATTCTTTCGATTTTTTAATAATGGATATAATGGTGCTCCGTGGGATGTTCAAAGTTTCTGATATTTTTTTATAACCCAACCCTGATCTGTACTTCTCCACAACTTTGTCCCTGACCTGTTTGGAGAGCTCCTTGGTCTTCATGGTGCCGCTTGCTTGGTGGTGCCCATTGCTTAGTGGTGTTGCAGACTCTGGGGCCTTTCAGAACAGGTGTATATTTATTGAGATCATGTGACAGATCATGTGACAATTAGATTGCACACAGGTGGACTTTATTTAACAAATTATGTGACTTCTGAAGGTAATTGGTTGCACTAGATCTTATTTAGGGGCTTCATAGCAAAGGGGGTGAATACATATGCATGCATCACTTTTCCGTTATTTATTCTTTATAATTTTTGGAAACAAGTTATTTTTTTCATTTCACTTCACCAATGTGGACTATTTTATGTATGTCCATTACATAAAATCAAAATCAAAATCCATTTAAATTACAGGTTGTAATGCATCAAAATAGGAAAAACACCAAGGGGGATGAACACTTTTGCAAGGCACTGTATACCCATTATTCTGTTTAACCCATTATTCTGTATATAACCAGTATTCAGTATAACCATTATTCAGTATATAACCATTATTATATACCCATTAGTCTGTATATAACCATTATTATATAACCCTTATTCTGTATATAACCATTATTCTGTATACAAACATTATCCAGTATATAACCATTATTATATACCCATTATTTTGTATATTACCATTATTGTATAACCATTATTCTGTATATAACCATTATTCTGTATATAACCATTATTCTGTATATAACCATTATTATATAACCATTATTCGGTATATAACCATTATCCAGTATATAACCATTATTCTGAATATAACCATTATCCAGTATATAACCATTATTCTGAATATAACCATTATTCTGAATATAACCATTATTCAGTATATAACCATTATTCAGTATATAACCATTATTGAGTATATAACCATTATTCTGTATATAACCATTATTATATACCCATTATTCTGTATATAACCATTATTGTATAACCATTATTCTGTATATAACCATTATTCTGTATATAACCATTATTCTGTATATAACCATTATTATATAACCATTATTCGGTATATAACCATTATCCAGTATATAACCATTATTCTGAATATAACCATTATCCAGTATATAACCATTATTCTGAATATAACCATTATTCTGAATATAACCATTATTCAGTATATAACCATTATTCAGTATATAACCATTATTGAGTATATAACCATTATTCAGTATATACCCATTATTCTGTGTATAATATAAACTACTAGTAGAGACAGACATGGATTGAGACCCTGTACGTGTCTGGAGCTGTTTCCCTGACACTCAGCACAGGCCTGGATTTAAGGTTTGAGTTGATTATCTCCCTGAATTAAGTATGCACAACTGAGACCCAGGGAGATCAATAAGAACTCAATTGAGTACAAAACTATTATGTAAGGGGAACTATCCAAGAGAGCAGGTTGTAAATAAGCACTGGGTCTATCCCGGCATCTCCTCTCCTCCTCTCCTTCTATCCCCCCCTCCTGCTCACCTCCTCTCCCCCTCTCCCCCTCTCCTTCTCTCCTCCTATCCTCCTCTCCTCCTATCCCCCTCTCCTCCTATCTCCCTCTCCTCCTCTCCCCCTCTCCTCCTCTCCTCCTATCCCCCTCTCCTCCTCTCCTCCTATCCCCTCTCCTCCTATCCCCCTCTCCTCCTATCCCCCTCTCCTCCTATCTCCCTCTCCTCCTCTCCTCCTATCCCCCTCTCCTCCTCTCCTCCTATCCCCTCTCCTCCTATCCCCCTCTCCTCCTATCTCCCTCTCCTCCTCTCCTCCTCTCCTCCTATCTCCCTCTCCCCCTCTCCTCCTCTCCTCCTCTCCTCCTCTCCTCCTCTCCCCCTCTCCTCCTCTCCTCCTCTCCTCCTTTCCTCCTATCTCCCTCTCCCCCTCTCCTCCTTTCCTCCTAACCCCCTCTCCTCCTATCCCCTCTCTTCCTCTCACCCTCTCATCCTCTCCTCCCTATCCCCCTATCCTCCTATCCCCCTATCCTCCTATCCTCCTATCCCCCTATCCTCCTATCCTCCTATCCCCCTCCTCCTCTCCTCCTATCCTCCTATCCCCCTCTCCTCCTCTCCTCCTCTCCTCCTATCCCCCTCTCCCCCTCTCCTCCTCTCCTCCTATCCCCCTCTCCTCCTCTCCCCCCTCTCCTCCTCTCCTCCTCTCCTCCTATCCCCCTCTCCCCCTCTCCTCCTCTCCTCCTATCCCCCTCTCCTCCTCTCCCCCTATCCCCCTCTCCCCCTCTCCCCCTATCCCCCTCTCCTCCTATCCCCCTCTCCTCCTCTCCTCCTCTCCTCCTCTCCTCCTCTCCTCCTATCCCCCTCTCCTACCATCATGGCTCCTATCCTCTGATCCTATGGCCTCTAGATACACAGCTTTTGTGCTATTTTCTCACCCCCCCAAACCCCCCCCAAAAATCCCCCCCCCCCCCCCCCAAAAACCCCCCCCCCCCCCCCCCCCCCCCCCCCCCCCCCCCCGAAAAACCCCCCCCCCCCCTTTTAAAAAATTTTTTTTTAAAAAAAAAAACCCCCAAAAAAAAACCCCCCCCCCCCCCCCAAAAACCCCCCCCCCCCCCCCCCAAACCCCCAAAAACCCCCCCCCCCCCCCCCCCCTCCCCCCCCCCCAAAAGCCCCCCCCCCCCCCCCCCCCCCCCCCCCCCCCCCCAAAAAAACCCCCCCCCCCCCCCTCCCCCCCCCCCCCTTTTTAAAAAAAAAGGGGCCCCCCCCCCCCCCCCCCCCCCAAAAAAAAAAACCCCCCCCCCCCCCAAAAAACCGCCCCCCCCCCAATTTCCCCCCCCCCCCCCCCCCCCCCCCTTCCCCCCCTTCCCCCCCCCTTTCCCCCCCCTCTCCCCCCCCTTTGCTACTTTTTCTTTTCTGTAAGGAATGTGTTAAATTCTCCCCTTTTTGAGAAAAGTAACAGCCTAAAAAGAGGACATTGACAATATGGCATTGATACACCTATTTGCTGCCATTAAATGATCATGTAGGTTACACTCATATCTGTGCATGGTAATATTTCTGAAACACTCTTTCTCTAATAGAAAACTGGTCAATATCCAAGGCAATAACCACAAACCTCTTTGCTGCCATTAAATGATCACGTAGGTTACACTCATATCTGTGCATGGTAATATTTCTGAAACACTCTTTCTCTAATAGAAAACTGGTCAGGGTATTGCAGATTGTACGGCAACATCGGACTATTCAGAATGCTGCGGCGCTGTCCATGGTGCTGAAACATGGGATAAAGCCTATTCTTCCTGTGCTGTAGGCCCTATATACAACACCTCTTATACTGAACAGAAATATAAACGCAACATGTAAAGTGATGGTCCCATGAGGTGGAATAAAAGATCCCAGAAGTTTTCCATACGCATCAAAAAGCGTATTTCTCTCAAATGTTGTGCACACATTTCTTTACATCCCTGTTAGTGAGCATTTCTCCTTTGTCAAGATTAGCCATCCACCTGACAGGTGTGGCATATCAATAAGCTTATTAAGCAGCATTATCATTACACAGGTGCACCTTGTGCTGGGGACAATAAAAGGCCACTAAACTTTGCAGTTTTGTCACACAACACAATGCCACAGACGCCTCATGTTTTGAGGGAGCGTGCAATTGGCATGCTGACTGCAGGAATGTCCACCAGAGCTGTTGCCAGATAATTGAATGTTAATTGCTCTACCATAAGCCGCCTCCAACGTCATTTTAGAGAATTTGGCAGTATGTCCAACCGGCCTCACAACTGCAGACCACGTATAACCATGCCAGCCTAGGACCTCCACATCCGGATTCTTCACCTGCGGGATTGTCTGAGACCAGCCACCCGGACAGCTGATGAAATTGAGGAGTATTTATTTCTCTAATAAAGCCCTTTTGTGGGGAGAAACTTATTCTGATTGGCTGGGCCTTGCTCCCCAGTGGGTGGGCCTGTGCCCTCCCAGGCCCACCCATGGCTGTGCCCCTGCCCAGTCATGTGAAATCCATAGATTAGAGCCTAATGAATTTATTTCAATTAACTGATTTCCTTATTTAAAATCGTTGAAATTGTTGCATGTTGCATTTATATTTTTGTTCAGTATAGTTAAATCGAACATATAGCTTATACCTAGCTTTAGGCATTAATATACCGCTCACACGGTGGCTAAATGATGAAGGCCTACTGAATATACAGCTAGTAAACAGCAGGCTACTATATGGATATATAAGGTTGACTTAATAGGCCTATTAGAAATTGTCATTTTACACCGTTCATAGTAGAAACCATTCGTATGTCGATGCTTTGAGACAGACACCACCAGAGCCTATAGCCCAGAGGGCTCTGTCTTTCTGTCTGTCTCTCTCTCTCTCTCTCTCTCACACCCATCACTCTTGCGGTGAAATGTGAAACTAAAATCGATTCCACCAGCAGGTGGCAGTATTCACTGATTATTCTCTCAGACAGACACCACTGATATGCTTGTAATTGCAACAGGGGGTTTCTTCTCGCTAACTAGGACTAGTCCCAGTGCATCATTAAAACAGACAAAACCATATGGGTAATGATGATGGATTATTTCACAATCATTACAACGTCATTCAGAGACGTTTCACAATAACACAATTTAGGGTAGGCTATCCTATCTCAGTTATTAGGTAAAATATGTGGTCCTCTGTAGCTCATCTGGTAGAGCACGACGCTTGTAATGCCATGGTAGTGGGTTCAATCCCCGGGACCACCCATACGCAAAAATGTATGCACGCATGACTGTAAGTCGCTTTGGATAAAAGCGTCTGCTAAATGATATATTATTATTAAATAAATGTAGACCTACTGAAAATATAATAAAAACCAGAACATTTCCAGACTACATTATTATTTGCACGCCCGGATATAGAAACGGAGATCTCTATAGTGCATAAAAACAAATGAAGCTTGTTGCAGTGGTTGTTGCCTTTAATTGCTGTATTCGATCTCCATTTTGTTTTGGTGCAGAAATGTATAAATACATTGATAAAGGGGTACATAACATGACAACATGAAATAGGCCTACTATGGAGCTTCAAACATTTCAATCCCTTTTAACAAAGGCTATTCACCCTGTGGCCGCAACATGCCGACATTATAATGAATTTATAGGCTAACACAAAAAATGGGAGACTATTGGTGGTTGATAACAATTAATTGGTGACTATTCTAAGTATCTCATCAAACAAATCCCAATTAAAATTTCATGACCATAAATTATGTTACATACAGTAAATTATGTTACTAAAATGCTATTGCTAGGTTTACTTCAGATTACTGATAAAACGAAAAATCTAAAAGGCTTAACCATAAAACAAAAGGCTTCCTGATAACCACAAAACAAAAGGCTTCCTGATAACCACAAAACAAAAGGCTTCCTGATAACCACAAAACAAAAGGCTTCCTGATAACCACAAAACAAAAGGCTTCCTGATAACCATAAATAAAAGGCTTCCTGATAGCCACAAAACAAAAGGCTCCTGATAACCATAAAACAAAAGGCTTCCTGATAACCACAAAACAAAAGGCTTCCTGATAACCATAAAACAAAAGGCTTCCTGATAACCATAAAACAAAAGGCTTCCTGATAGCCACAAAACAAAAGGCTCCTGATAACCACAAAACAAAAAGGCTCCTGATAACCATAAAACAAAAGGCTTCCTGATAACCACAAAACAAAAGGCTCCTGATAACCACAAAACAAAAAGGCTCCTGATAACCATAAACAAAAGGCTCCTGATAACCATAAACAAAAGGCTCCTGATAACCATAAACAAACATCAAGGCCAACACCTTCATGTGATGATGAAATTATCTCTTATAATTTTCTATTATCCTTGGACTACAGTCGCCAAAAAAAAAAACAAAGCAATTGCTAACCCAGGACACATAAAAACGTCAGGCCCGTGTAAAAAGAGCAATCTCCTCTGCAATGAAAGTCTACGATCCAGTGATTCAATCAAGGTTGTTTCCACATAGGATAGGTTACAGTAGTATCAAACACACAATTATATTATTCAGAGAAGGGTTTACCGTTTCCAAAGGAGAGGGAAAGGAGCAGTTTAACGTTGGGGTTTTCTTTAAGGGTAGATTCCATCAATGGATCGATGAGGTAAGGCTTCCCTCGCTCTTTCAACAGAGTGGATAACAGCCCTTCTTGCCCATTTTCGACACAAGTAGCCTATATCAGGATGTGATGC